TCACCTTTGGTGAAGCTTAGCCATCCAGGGTAACAACATAGTCTTACTAAGCAAATAAAAGAGGTTTAAATTAAAGCAGATGACAAGGTCAAAATGAACATTAAGTTCCCCACCAAGAACCAAGTCTGTCCCCTTTCTACCAGGAGCACAGTGTCATTCTCCAATTGTGCAAAACCCTAGTTAGATAGGTAGGTCTCTGTTGGTTTCTCTGTGCTTCCTTTGCATTGCATGTCAAGAGTGCAGTCCTTACATTTTTACATATCATAATTATTCACAATAAAATTGAGACGCTAAGGATTACCAAACTGAATTCAGTAAGTTCTGTGTTATGTCTTTTCATTTGGAAGGTCTACATCTCACCTAAAAAAGATAACTACTGAAGACCTCAGCCATCTCAAGTTCCTAACAGGTCAAGTTTTAGGTTTCAAAATTTGACTTTCCTAAAATTTAAATATTTTTGTAAAAGGTTATTTCATCTATGAGATCCTATTTGAAAAATATAATTTAAAACACACTTAGAAATATATTTAAAAAATAAAAAGAGAATTTGATACAAGATTAGAAAAAAAACATGATACAGTTTCGGTGGAGAATGTAAATTGTGTTGTCAGGGAAATGTAGCTGTGTCATACCATGATTCCTAGGTAATGTTTAACATCTGGTATATATTTTCTTTCTTATAGGTTAAGTCTGTAGTGCTTGGAAAAAAAATCTATCCAATTAATCAGAGATCACATTCATTTGTGCACAGGATTCCTTGTTCTACTTGGCTGATTCAGTGATGATGACCATCTAAGATCATTTGGAAACACAGTGTAAGATGACCCCAATGTCTAGAAAAGGAAATGAGACTTGGAAAGAGAATTCTGTAAATTATTCCAGGTCATGTCACTGCATGACCAAACCAGCAATACAATTCATTTAGCTTTAGGTAGTATACATTACGGACAGGCTAGAAACTTAACGCTGGGAGTGTGGGCTAACAGTTCATCCTCCACCTTTATTATTTTTACACATAAGTCTAAAGTGAATTAACCCAGTCTTTATATAGCCAATTAGATAACTTTGTATGTGCTGGAAATAAACTTTCGTGATCATGAAGCACATTTTTGTTCTCATAATAAAGTCTTTGTGAATGACATCTGACCTGCATAATGGTGGTAGTCAGTTCATATTACGTTGACTTGTAGTGCGTTGGGAATTAGTGGACAGAACTGCTATGCTGGCCACATTTTCAACAAATTATTAGTAATTTAACAGTACATGATTAAATATCTCATCTGCGGCTTTTCACATATTTTCTGCTGCACAAAACTGCACCATTCTAATTATCACAAAAGTTGAAAATGTATTTATTACAGGTCTAGGAAAAGATGTTGTTTGTCAGATGATAAACCACTATCTCTGAGAAAATAAAGGCTAGTGATAATTTCAAACACAAGCAACAGCTAGAACTGACAAATGGAGATGGCTTTGGGCCATCACGAAACAGAAAGCAAATACCAAGCACTCTTTGACTAGCCCAGGACCAGTTTGGCAGCCTGGCAGTTTAGCTGTAGCCTCCCTAGCGGTCTGATTATGTCAGTATTTCTGTGCTCAAAGCAGTACATTTTTTTGCATGGAAATATGTAGTTTTTTTATTGTAGGCCTGTAATTTTTAGGAATAACCCACTGAAATCTGTCCAAACAAGAGTCTAGTAAACATCCCGGGTATGTTAAAATTTGAAACACGAAATCATAAATTATAATTTAATAAATAAATCATAAAAAAATATAAATTTAATAATAAAGGTATTTCAATAATATAATCAAACCAAAAACACTGAAATTTGAAATATAGCGCCAAGTTCGCACATCACTGAGCAAAGTCGCAAAATCGTTTTCAGTGTCTGATGACGAATTTCCCCACTAATCATTATCACTCAATTCTGCAAGTAGTTCTAATTTACTATTGCTGTTCTCTAGCTGGTCTAAAACCGCTTTTGACCAAAAGGGACGCTTTTTGGACGCCATGGACATTTCTCAGTTTCCAGGCAGAAAGAACAGTAAAAATGCAGGCAGGGCACAGGACAAAGCACTAAGGACAAAATGTATGTGAAATGCTTTGATACAGTAATGTTTTACTATGCGATTTTACTGCATTTAGTGAATGTCACTTTTTGCCATTTTTAAATTTCCTGCCATTCTGTCCCCCCGTATATCTTGACGTTGCAGGGAACGGAACCCGGAAGACGGATGCCAGCATCGGCCGGAGGAGATGGCAGGGAACGCTGTAGGAGCGACATAATGGGAGCGAAGGTCAAGGTAAGTGAAGAAGAGATCCCGGAGCAACGCTGCAAGGTATTCCCGAGTGTAGGTTTGGTTTACCGTTTGTGGTGCTGAAACTTTACCCCGAGCTACACTCAGGAATACCTCCAGGGAGGTTAAAGAGACACTGTCACCTTGTCCAATCAGAGCAAAGTGCAGGTGTCCCTGTGTAAAGGCCTTCCCAACCAACAGATATTTACCTTTCCGGGAAATACTCCTTCCTTCATTGCAGCCACCACAAAAATATCCAGTGTTGCAGCTCAAGGGGACACATGAACTCAGGAGGACACATGAATCAATTCATAATATGCATAAGATATACAGTAGGAAAAAATTATTATTTGATCCCCTGCAGATTTTGTAAGTTTTCCCACTTACAAAGAAATGAAGGGTCAATTTTTTATCATAGGTGTATTTTAAAAATGATAGAGACAAAATATCAACCAAAAATCCAGAAAAAAAAAAGTACATGGTACAAATGTTTTAAATTGAGTTGCAGTTCATTGAGCAAAATAAGTATTTGATCCCCTACCAACCAACAATAATTCTGGCTCCCACAGACTGGCTATGTGCTCATGTGGTACATAATTAGTCCTGTCAATTTAAGAAGGTGCTCCTAATGACAACTCGTTATGTGTATAAAAGACACCTGTCCACAGAATTTCTTTCTTCCATTCAAACCTTGCCACCATGGGCAAGACCAAAGAGTTGCAAAGGACGTCAGGGACAAGATTGTAGACCTGCACAAGGCTGGAATGGGCTACAAAACCATCAGCAAGAAGCTTGGGGAGAAGCAGACAACTGTTGGGAGGGATTATTTGCAAATGGAAGAAATCCAAAATAACCATCAATCGCCCTCGGTCTGGAGCTCCATGCATGATTTCACCTCATGGGGTAAGGATGGTCATGAAAAAAGTGAGGGATCATCCCAGAACTACAAGGGAAGAGCTTGTGAATGATCTAAAGGCAGTTGGCACCACAGTCACCAAACAAACCATTGATGACACAATACGCCACCATGGATTCAAATCCTGCAGCGGTTGGAGGAAGAAAAAGGCTGACTATGACTCCATACCTGCAGTCAAGCACGAAGGTGGAAACATTATGCTTTTGTGCTTTTCCTCTGCTAAAGGTACAGGCCAACTGTGCCGCATTGAGGGGCCAATGGACAGGGCCATGTATTATAAAAGTTTGGATGAGAACCTTATTCCCTCAGCCAGAACACTGTAGATGGGTCGTGGATGGGTGTCACGTACCTACTGACGGTTGCTCTATGGATCCACAGACCGGGATTCCCCAGGGTGCGGAGTCTAAGCCCCAGTCTGCTTGTTCACCAGAGCCCCTGATGGTAGGGATGGACTTGGAGCAGGCTGAGACCAGGTTGCGGCCCCTGGGTACACCCAGCTGTAGTAGAGGAAACTGCCAGTGGCACGTAGCTGGATAAGAGCCTGATGTGAGGAGGCTGAACAGGCCTTGACAGTAACGGATGGATCCGTGCAGGATGGATGGATGGATGGAACACATTGTGAACAGTAGCAGAGTCAGACAGGCCGAGTCGGTATCAATGGAGGCAGAACAGAGCAGCAGACAGAGAATTGTCGGGTCACAAGCCAGGTTCAGCAGCAGGAGATCAGATAATCGGGGACAGGTAGAAGAATGGTCAAACGAGCCAGGAGTCAGGGCAGGAGATGGGCAGCAGTAATCAGGATCAGGCAGGGCTCGGCAACAACAAGATACTCTCACAGGAACAGGATAAACAGGAACAAGACCATATGGCAATATGAGCATTGCAAGAGCTGGTTTAAATAGCCAACCTGGCGCCGACAGGCGCACCTGGGTCCTAGTGCCCGCACGGAGCCGTCATTGGTGACAGGCGCGCCTGGGTCCTAGTGCCCACCTGCCTGTACGTCTTGTCGGGATCCTACGCATGTGCAGATTCATGCGCCGCGGCGATCTTCTCATTCCCTGACAATGGGTCTTCTAGCATGACAATGACCCAAAACATACCTCCAAGGTAACAAAGGAGTGGTTCAAGAAGAAGCACATTAAGGTCCTGGCATGACCTACCCAGTCTCCAGACCTTAATCCTATAGAAAATTTATGGAGGGAGTGGAAATTTAGAGTTACCAAGCAACAGCCAAGAAACCTTAAGGATTTAGAGAAGATCTGTAAAGAAGAGTGGACCAAATCCCTCCTGAGATGTGTGCAAACCTGGTAACCAACTACAAGAAACATCTTACCTCCGAGCTTGCCAACAAGGGTTTCTCCACCAAGTACTAAGTCATGTTTTGCTTGGGGATCAAATACTTATTTTACTCACTGAACTGCAACTCAATTTACACCCTGTTCCAAATTGTTATGCAAATGATATTTTTCTCATTTACCTAAATAATTGATGTAAATAACAGTCAGCATAATTCTCATGTTATCAACTATTAAGAGTACAATTCCAATTTTATTGAACAAACCTCCTAATGATAACAGTATTTTTTTTAAACATAAAAAAAAACGTACAATGCACTGTTCCAAATTATTACGCACAGTAAGTTTCAAAACACTTTATAGGTTGTAAAGAACTGAAAATTGTCATTTGTTGTGTTTGCAGCATATTTACTGAAATCAAAAGCTATCTCAATCAAACTTTTAACAGCATTTTAACTTTTTAAACATTTTAACAGGTCACGTTACATTTTAACATAGGACCCCTTATTTGATAGCAGCTTCACAAGTCTTGCATCCATTGAACTTGTGAGTTTTTGGACAGTTTCTGCTTGAATATGTTTGCAAGATGTCAGAATAGCCTCCCAGAGCTGCTGTTTGGATGTAAACTGCCTCCCACCCTCATAGATCTTTTGCTTGAGGATGCTCCAAAGGTTCTCAATAGGATTGAGGTCAGGGGAGGATGGAGGCCACACCATGACTTGCTCTCCTTTTATCCCCATAGCAGCCATTGGAGATGGTGCATTGTCATGCATGAAGATGATTTTATTACGGAAAGCATAGTTCTTCCTTCTGTACCAGGGAAGAAAGTGGTCAGTCATAAACTCCACATACTTTGCAGAGGTCATCTTTACACCTTCGGGGACCCTAAAGGGGCCGACCAGCTCTGTTCCCATGATTCCGGCCCAAAACATGACTCCACCACCGCCTTGCTGACGTCGCAGCCTTGTTGGAACAGGGTGGCCGTTCACCAACCATCCACTACTCCATCCATCTGGACCATCCAGGGATGCATGGCACTCATCAGTGAACAGGACTGTTTGAAAATTAGTCTTCATGTATTTTTCTGCCCAATGCAGCCGTTTCTGCTTGTGAGCATTGGTTAGTGGTTGCCGAATAGAAGGTTTATGCACAGTTGCAAGACTCTGGAGGACTCTACACCTTGATGTCCGTGGGACTCCAGAGGCACCAGCAGGTTCAAATATCCGTTTGCTGCTATGTAATGGTATTTTAGCAGCTGCTCTCTTGATCCGATGCATGGATCTGGCAGAAATCTTCCTCAATGTGCCTTTATCTGCACAAACCCATCTGTGCTCTGAATCAGCCACAAATCTCTTAATAGTGCGATGATCACGCTTAAGTTTTCGTGAAATATCTAATGTTTTCATACCTCGTCCAAGGCATTGAAGTATTTCACTCTTTTCGGCAGCAGAGAGATCCTTTTTCTTCCCCATATTGCTTGAAAATGGTGCTCTGCTTAATAATGTGGAACACCCTCCTTTTAGTAGTTTTTCCTTAAATTGGGCTCACCGACCAAACTAATTATCACAGGTGTCCGAGATTGTTTTCAGTGATCAGAAGAGCCCTGAGACACAATGCCATCCATGAGTTAAACTGAAAAACAAAATATTTAATCTTTGTGACACTTAAATAGAATTTGCATAATAATTTGGAACAGGGTGTATAACATTTGCATCATGTGTTTTTTTCTGAATTTTTGGTTGATATTCTATCTCTGTCATTTAAAATACACCTAGGATGGAGCTTTGCCATCATGTCAAACATTTCATTCTGGGAGGAGATTCCATGCTCCCATATACATGAAAGCACAGGGTTTTTACAGTGCAGATGAAGTAGAAAGGACTGTGGGGGGAGCACTGGAGATGAGAGTAAAAAGTGGTCAGGTGTTGGACTTTACACAGACACTGTTACTTTAACCCGAATACTCAAGGTGATAGTGTACCTTTAAATAAAAACCTAATTTTAGAGAGAAATATGTAAGCGGCTATTGATGACCTCCATTGGAAAGGGCCAATCGTCTGTTTCTAGTTTTAGAACTTTCTAAAACATTAAAAATGGCACAATCATGCAGCCAGTGAAGTCAGAACTGTCATTATGCATGCTTATTTCATGTCAGTGACTGAAGTATTGAAGCCACTGGATCAGCATGAAGGCTAGAGAACCACTGTGTTCAAAAAGAGTGATTAGCAGAGTCATATTTTTACATTTTTATATCAGTACAGGTTTCCTTTAAATGCAAAAGAAATGCAAGCATAAAGTGGGCAGACCTATTTAAGTGAACTAGTTAGTCAGCTGCAAATTGCCAGGACTACTATCTACAGTAAACTATCTAAAGTAGTCATGACAGGCATTCTTGAAGCCTGAGCTGTCCTCAGGGCTGGATTTCTTCATAGCACACATAGGTCACAGTCTAGGTTGGCAGTGCTAGCAGTGGTGGCACCCAGCAATCCCACTGCTGACAGACATCAATATATCATAATGTATTCTAAACGTTTTAAGGCTCCCTCCCTGCCAACCAACCAACCAACCAACCAAAGAAATTCAATCTTCTTCACTGTTACAGTCCCTGCATTCTCTGTGCAGTTGCTTAAAAGGCATAGGTATGGATTTGCAGTTCAATGTTCATGGTGGTTTCATTAACAATTTTGACCTGAGCAACTGGTTTCTGTCTCTGTGTCAGTCTAGTTCTGATTCTGTCTTGATTAATATGTTTAGGATTCCACACCAACAGACATTCAAATCAATAAGCATATATGAAGGTTTTAGTGGCACTTGCACAGTTAAGGTTTAGGCAGATACCCTTGAGGGCTACCCTTTGAAAAGCTGATGGGGGGAGGCAGGGTAAAACAGGAAGAAACAGTCAGCTGCAACAAGAAAGGGCAAAAGGAAGTATAAATTTGACCAATTCCGAAGATGAAGATGAGATTTACTGAAACCTTCATGAAACATCAGTGACTGCTACAGGACATAAATATATATTTTTTAAAAAATATTTTGGATGGCACTCGTATCCAAACCTTTTTTTACAGAAAATGTGGTATCAGTGTCCTCGGCAGTCTCCCTCTGGGAAGCCTATAAGGTTACCTTGCGAGGCCACCTCATTCAGATGTCCTCACTCAAAAAAAGGAAAGAGAAAGGAAGATTCAAAAGCTTTCCACTCAACTGGACTCTGCTGACACTGCCTGGAAATCCTCCCCCTCGGCCGTGACCCGACAGCCCATGATGCAGTCGGCACGGAACTAGACCTCCTGCCTTTCGACTGTAGCACTACCCCCTTGGGTAGTCTACAGCAAGGTCAATTGCAGTTGGTAAGCGCTTATATTTTACTACGGAGGTGGAGGTCTTTACTTCACTGTCCTTTTGACTCCACGGTGACTGACTTTTTACTCAGATTCAAGAACACTTGGAAACAATGAATTTCACATGAATGGAGCGTATATAATTTTTGGCAATCTTTATTTGGTTGACATGTTGAATAAGCACATCTACTATTGTGTATGTTAGTAATGCACTTTTTAACACTAAGGTTCTTTATGCACTTGAATTAAGTTTTGAACACATTACAGCATGGCTTAATGTTTTATAATTAATGTTAATATGTGAAAAATATTTTAAAGTAGAGCCTGCTGCTAATTGGCTGATTATTTTGAGCACATTTTGTTTTTCCACATAAGCGCAGTTTCTTTGAATTTTGATTTCTGGCCTACTACAATAGCATGTGGTGAGGTGAACTACTTTCTCCCTATGGGCGCACATCTCCATGATCTCAAAAACCACTGCGGAAGCACAGAATCCCCAAGCCTTTCAGCCAATTTCTCTGTTGATCGAGGACATGAACAAATATCTTCGCTGCCTGATTCACAGGGAGCCGGCTGGCTTTGTGTGAATCAGACTGCCAGATGGGGGATAACATTCGTAAGGTGATCCACCTTATTAACTTGCTAAACAAACGCAAGATCCCAGGGTTCCTTCTCTTGCTTGATAGCTACAAGGTGTTAAACACCCTTTCCTGGGACTACCTGAGCTATGTGCTGCAACTCTGGGGCTTTGGAGAGTCAGTCTTGGCCTGGCTCTGGGCTCTTTATTCCTCTCCTACAGCCACAGTCCACTGTGCGTGTAATTTCTCTACCTCCTTTCCCATTTTCAGGAGAAGGAGGCAGGGCCACCCACTCTCCCCAGTCCTTTTTATTCCGACTGACTTCTTCTTACCGCTCTTTGTTCCCTGCTAGCTACTACCAACTCTTACGCTTTATTACTGCTCTCATGGAGTCATGGCGATTCCCGACTCTGTTGTGGATTGTCCGAACACACGTGGGCAAGAAGACCTTTCTTCCTAGGATCTAGTACTACTTCAGAACCTTACGGATTCTTTCATCTGGGCCTACAAACACCCCAGAGTCTCACGCTCCACAGTATAATCCCACAGGTTACGGAGTGGGCTTGGAGTCCAGAATGTATCAAAATATTATATGGAAGTGCAAATCTCACAGCTCACTGTGCTGCATACGACCTCAGATCTCGCCTTATGGGTACTCCTAGAGATTCCAAATTGTGCCTCCATTCTGGTCTCTGCCCTCCTGTGGCTCTCACGCAAATTGCGCCCTCCTTCCTTCAGCCCTCTTATGCCGTATAGTCTGCGTCTTTGAGGCTCGGTCCAATATTCCAGCAACTTGATGTCTCCATTTCTTTCCTCCTGCTCTTTTACAACCCTCTTTATCTGCTGAGGTTAGAACAGCCCCAGGCCTTCTCATGGTCGCTTGCCCATGGTTTTTCTCAGGTCCATCACTTTTTGGGATCCCGCTCGCTCCCATCTTGGCCATCTCTCCGAGAGACACACAAAGCGCTCCCTTCAGAGATTTAAGCCACATGCAGCTTTGCCACTGGATAGTCGACATCAGGCGCAACTCTTCTTTTTTGTTCCAGAAAACGGCCTTGGAGCATACCTGTTTAAAATACCTGAGTGCCTATGCCACTATTATTAGGGTCTATTCTTTTCTGAACGCTGGGAGCTTGTCCACTTCCTTCCTGTATGTGTCTAGACGGGAACGCGATATAGTAATCCCTATAGATCCTGCAGATTGGAGCAAAACCTGGTCCAGTGTAGCCAAATGTTCCTTTAACACTGTCACCTTGGAGGTGGCATATATAAAGTCCTCCTCCACTGGTACTGGGTCCCAGCTGGTATTGCTCTCTCAAATTCGTCATATAGTGATAGATACTTTCGGGGCTGCAGTCAATGTGGAGATGAGATTCATATCTGGTGGTCCTGCCCCTGTCTGGTAGGGTTCTGCTCAAGGGTCTTTGGCCTTTTGATGACTCTCTTCCACGTACCTTTCTACAAAGATGCCAGACATGCATTCCTCCACTGGCCAGTCCCAGGCCTCTTTTCCTACCAACAGAAATTGACCACATCTCTCTTTATAGCTGTCAAACACGCTATAGCCAGAGCATGGAAGAAACCCTCAGTCCAGTTCGCAGAGGTGAAGAGCATTCTAAACACCCGAATGATTCATGAGAAGATGACCAGTATCCTTCATGACTACCACTCCAAATTTCTCAAGGCGTGTGCCCCAAAGTGGTCATATGCTCTCCCTCCCCTACACCCAACTAGCTTTGGTGCTTTTATCATAGTGCGCTGTCTAGCCCGCAGGAACTTCTCTGCTCTTCCTATCTCTGCTTCCCTCTTTCTCTGCTACTCCTCCTTATGACCCCCCCCACCTTTTTTTCCCTTCTTCCTCTCCTCCATCCCCTCACCCACATTTGGACTATGATCCACGATGGGGTCATCTCACCATCTCTTTCTTTACTAAGCCCTGGGCCTCTGAGC